GGTAGTGGTATGCCTGAAGCCTTGGTCACAACCCACCGTTCTTGATTTTTTGTTCGTACGTTTTTGTGGGAGACGTCTGCTACGTTTTCTCTGAAAACGTGGGAAGGACTGGCATGATCAGTACGTCAACGCACGTCAGTCGCACGGTTACGCAAGGTGTGACGCCTGGCTGTGAGCGAGTGCTGTCAGCAAGTGCTGAGTTGTACTTGCTTACAACGTACGATCTCTGAGCGATTGCCACTTAACCGTATGCAGGCCGTACTTACCCGTACGCGTGCTGCTTACGCGGGGTACGCCTGTCGCCCGTACTGGCTCGGTACGGGGGGGGGGGGGGTTAATTCGCAGACCGCACGCAGAGAAAGTTTTACATGCACTTAAAGTGCTACGGCGTGTCTGTGTGCTCCCAAATCCGTAGGATTCCGTGCGGAGGTGATACTCACCACTTACGGATCCCCAAAATTTGCCAACGTTTTTGCACGTAAACAGCACACGGCGGGTTGTGACCGAGGCTTTAAGCGAGGTTCACAACCCGCCGTAGGTTCAACTGCATGCAGTGGGCGAAGCGCGTTCTGTACGTACCAGTACGTACCGTACGTAAGCAGCACGAGTACGTACGGCCCGCATACGGCAGCGTGGTAATCTCACAGAGGTCATACGTTGTAAGCACGTACCACTTGCGCAACAAACGATGCACGCAACCGCTTACGGCCACGCGTGCTGCGTATAGACCACAAACGTACATCTTGCGCAACTGTGTGAGTGCTCTTGCCAGTCCATATCCTCACGTTTTCATAAAACAACATGGCGGACGCGGCCTCCCAAAAACGTAAGGACAAAATACACGTACGGCGGGTTGTGACCCTCGCTTTATGGGAGCATACATGAGGACGATAAGATTGCTGTTCCACAACATTTGATCTCAGGCTATGTTGAGTTGATTATATGGATGACATCCTATGGGAACCAAACAAGGATGCGAGCGTGCGAATAACAAAGTTTGACAGAAAAAGTCGCCATCATTTTGAAATCAATGTGGTCATGAAGGTTGAACAAATTGCTAAACACACGGGTATGGTATAGCGAATATAGCGACTATTAATATTCATTCCTTTACATTTTCTTTTTTGCAATTGGTTTTGGCGTTGTATGACATTACTATCGTTTTCCCAATATTTTTGTCGCAATTTACGGCATATATTTGCTCATTTTGCAGTCGCTTTGTACAATTTACAGTGTTACCGAAACAATTTTTGGGGGTAAAAAGGGCGAGAATTCAACCGCGCGCGGATGTCATCCTTATTATCAAATCAACATTGCCTAAATCAACACTAAGTATAATGTAGGTAGCACGTCGGCAGAACATAATGCGCCCGAACCCCGTTTTTCACGGCTTTCGCTGGATTTTTAGTCAACGTTGCATCGAATTTTGCCTGTTTTCCGACATAACACTTGGAAACTACAGACGGAGTGTTAAAGTTATATACGTGAGTATATATATGCGACCTCATATGAGACGTTCTGCCGAAGTGGCATGCACAATACATGACGGGTTTCGCGCAGGTGCAGTACGTTCTGCCGAAGTGCTAATGTAGGTATATATAGATTCCTTTGTGAGTCACTCCTCAATAAAACTTTGTCATCAGTAAAACCCGGTCACATTCGACTTCTGATAGAACTACGATAGCAGAACGCGTCAACCGCAAAAAAAAACCCAGGTAGAATCAGCAATTATCAAGTGATTTGTGATGCATTGGCATAATGTTATGCTCTACCATAGGCAGACATCAACTAAAAGAAAATAGTTTTAGGGACTGGGCAGGTCTAATTTCATTTTATGTTGACATATTGCAAATATTACCACGTGTACAGTGGGTGGGCTGTGTTCTAATAGGTACAGCTATGAGCAACTATCAACTATGGACAAATAACGTACACAAAACTTCACTGGCAAATTTTTGTAACTACCTAGCCAAAAATAAAGGAACAACAAAGATCGCAATGAGTGCGAAAGGAAAATGACGACAGAAATACTTTTAGCTGAATCTAACCTGGGATAAACTCGTTTGAAATCTGAGAAACCAATCATGCAATTGAGAAACCAATCATGCAATTGAGAAACCAAACATGCGATAAGATCATTGCACATTTATCGTATACAATAGTTTTGTCGCTTTTCTTGGCGGAGGGACTCTAGCGAGGCCGTGACTAAACGGACAAGAATATTGCGTGGAATTTGCTATCGTAAACCTATCGTAAAAGACCGTGACCAAATTCCTCATGGTTTAAGAATAAAACGTATGGTTTATGATTATCCATACGAGGGTGGATCAAAAAGTTCTCGGCCTCACCTAGAAAATAAAGGTCGAACTCCTATTCTTTAGTATAACTGTATACTATGATGTCTTACATCACTGCACACAAAAATTCAAATTTCTATATTCATTAATTAGCACGCGACGCCCCGTGAAAATGGGACGGGTGAGGGCAAAATCACAAAATGGCCGCAACAGAAGCGTGTGTTGTGATCATGTATATCGATAAAAAGGGATGTCTCGTAAGGAAATCCATGAACACATAGTCAGGACACTTGGTGATGACTCTCCTTCTTATTTAACTATAAAGAAGTGGGTTGCTAGCTACAAGCGCTGCAAGGTGAGCACCAAAGATGAACATATGTCAGGATGCCACAAATCAGCACCACGGACAATCCAGTTGAGGCCATCCATCACATGGTAGTAAATGACAGATGTGAGACTGTCCAACATGTAGCAGAGTCTTTAGCCTGTGTTAACGTTGTGGCTCTGTTCACAATGTTTTGTCAGACATCCTGGGGATGAGCAACCTGTCTGTAAGGTGGGTGCCTAGAATGTTTTCTTAACATCAGAAGTTAAACAAGCTGGACATTTCAAGGAACGAATTCAGTCCAATCAATGCAATTACCTCAAAACATTTGTCACCCAAGATGAGACATGGTTTCACCACTTTCACCCCAAATCAAAACAACAGAGCAAGCAATGAATTAAGAATTTTTCCTTCCCCCAAAGAAGTTTTATCGAGTTTCATCCGTTGACAGTGGTTTTGGCTCTGTTTTCTGGGACAGCAAGGGAGTAATCATGATTGACTACCTGTGAATAGGTTAAAGCATCAATGGGGAGTACTATTTAACAGAATAGCAACAGTTGAGGACAACGATCAAAGAGATAAGGAGAGAAAAGCACCGAGCTGGCGTAATGACAATGCACCTGTCCACACAGCACAGGGGTCAGTGACAGCAGCAAACGAATTTGGGTTTGCAGTCTAACCCCACCCTTCCAATTCACCTGACCTAGCACCCTCGGAATTCCTAAACTGAAGTTCCACTTACGTGGTCAACGTTTTTATGGTAATGATGACGTCATCAGTGCGGGTGAGCCCTATCTGGGGGCTCCAGATTCAACCTTATTCCACAAGGGGAAGACAAACCTGGAACATCACTGGACCAAGTACATTGCAGTTAGAGGGGACTATGTTGAAACATAGTGTAAGAAAATGTTTTCTGCCACGACGTTTTCTAGGTGAGGCCGAGAACTTTTTGATCCACCCTCGTATGTTAGGTACTTACAAATATAACATATATAATTTTCTACATTTTTTCTACAGTGCGTATGCCTTTCATCCGAACGCAGGTCAGGACAACCTTAGTTCTTCTTAGTACTTTAAATTTCATACTAAAATGATTTTGCGTTGACGGTTTTAAATTTTGCTATATTTAAATGCATGGAACCTATCTGTTCATTAAACTGAAGTCAAAATGGTATTGAAAAATTTTCCCGTTAAATGGTTCATTGTTGTACCCGAAGGTCAACATAGCTATTGTTATTGTGATATCCTAGTACATGTAGTCCAAATAATAGTATTATTGCGAAAAACTCAAGGATGTCCTGACCTGTATTTCACAAGTCCAGCTTGTGCACCGCTCCCTTGGCCCCCGACTACAGTACCGCATTTTAAAAAATAATATCATATGGGTATATATGTATATATGTATGGAGGAACGATGTACAGTTTTACTGTTATCAAAAAAGTGTTTGCAGTGAATGAGACTATAACCATTGCGAAATTAGAAAAAAAGGTGCAAATTGTATGGTAAAAACTGTAAGCGGGATTGACCTTTGTATGTCAACCAGGTAATCAATTTAAGTTAAAGGCTTACTTAGGCCACACCGACTTAATTTTATGGATGGCATCCGCGCGCGCATTGATTTTCGCCTGCCCCTCAAAAAAAAAAAAATCACGTCCACCGAGGGTCTGGCCTGGATCTAGGCTGGTAGTTAGCGACAATACGGAGCCGAGCACCCAGGCTACCGAAGGTCCACGACTTAAAAAACTCATAAGAGCACAGTACCGATTCATAAATGCCGCAAAAAGCCAGCATGTGCCGGCTTGTCGTATACGTCGCTACGTACTGTCGCAAATTCACAATTCCAGCTATGTATTCCTGTGGTTTAGTAGCATTTTTATTTTTGGCCGGATTTTTTTAATTCGCCCGCGCGCACTAGTTTGGGGGTCTTCAGAGGATGTCATCCATAAAATCAAATCGGTGTGGCCTTACCGTTGTAAAAGAAAGGTAAGAAGACAATGAAAGAAGAAAAAAAATGAGGTTAGGCCTTACTGGACCTATACAAATTATAAGCCATGAGAATTACTTGACTTGCTTTTATGGATGACATAATCCATGTACTCTAAACGTGATGGGAGCCCGAAAAAATGATGGTAACTTTGTAAATTACATGTGATTAAAGAAAGTGCAACTTTACCATAATTGAATGAAGTCAAACAAAAGTTGTCTTTTTGCTATTTTTTGCAATTAAAACAAATTCATAATGTCACAAAGTAAACAAGCTCTTTTTGGGTGCAGATTGACTTGTTCTACTAGATGTTAACCAAAGCATTGTATGGTAAAACGTCCATTTTGATATTTCTAATTTTATTTTCATCCAATGGGTAATTCTATATCATATTCTGGGGTGATGATATGTATCATATCAAGATAACCGTTGAGATTTTGATACGCTAGGGGATGTCATCCATGAAATCAAGTAACTGTTAAGTATAATCAAGTAATTAAAGGTTGTCTTTTTGGTAAATCTTTTGGGCCTTTTTTTCACTTAACACGGTTGTACTCTTCAGAAGTGACGGTCCTCGTTGCCCTAGGTATTTAGACGATGGCGTTCTCTGTAAAGAATTTAAAAAATTATTTGGTAAAATTTATGATGTGCTTAAAAGGATGGTGGTAAACAAAAAACAAACAATTTTGCCCTCAATGATCTGATTTATTGAATCCGTACTGTAACAACAATTTTGATTTAAAAATCAAACCATATTAAAGAAGTACCCATTTCACAGATGAAACGGTTTCGCTTCTTCTTGCAGTTGACCACAGCCCATTCCTTACGAACACGATGTATGATGACGCAGTCCCGGCGCTTGTGGTGCTTCGGTCGTTTGTGCCAGTTGGTGTAGTCACCGTCGCTCAACGCGGTACCGTCACTCCACATGAATGACTTCTCAGTGTGGCGGTCTTTCAAACCGATCCAGACATTCCTGTGTCAGAGAAATGGCACTGGTGTATTGAACACGGTCAAAAAATTTCATGGTTCAAACCTGCTTTAGAACTATGACCTCAAAGTCAAGGCATGTTCCGTTCGGGTCACCCACGACCATTCACAGTAAACCCACGCGTATCCAGACCCTGTTTTATTTTTTAATGCTGAGTACTTCCTATCAGAAAAACAATCCGCAACATTATCCGTTTACTGGACAGTACATATGTTCCACCGCTTGGTGATCGGAGTGGTATTTAGGCATGCGGACAAATGACGGATCATTTCCTTTTTTTTTAAAGATGTTTGTATTAGATCAAAGGGTGATGAAGCTGGTGTGTTACGCCGAAGGGCGGTCATACCAGCTATACAGTTTTATATCATACCCGGGCCGCGATAACGTTCGATAACGGTTC